CACACCCACACCTACACCCCACACCCACACACCCACACCTACACCCCACACCCACACACCCACACCCAACTTCAGATAAACGCTCAAGATGGACACCCATGACAATGCTAATATTTTATTGTTCTTGAATAAAAACAGTTAAAAAAGATTTGCTTATTGTCTGATATAATATTTATCGGAATATTCATATTTTTTGTTATTATTTATTACTCTTGTACTATTTGGACTTGTAGTAAAATAAATTTATGAAATTAAAAATATAGTTGTATCCTCAAGATACTCACACCAAATAGCTAATTACTATCATTTTTGGTTATTCCATAGGTTCGAAACATATTATATCTCAATCTATACTATATAATCGTTTATTTCATTTTGCTTTTATACTCACAATGCATCGTAACACGTAAGAAACGTCTTACACTTATTGTGACTTTAATTATAAGATTTTTCGTTCGTTCTATCGTTTCTTTTACATCTATATACATACTTATCACGATTATTTTTTTTTCTCTTCTGTCATGACTTCCAACGAAACGAAAATGGAGATATATCGCTTCTTACATCTTACGGCCTATCACAAGAAATAATCGATTATAATCTTCCATTTAATCTGGAAAAAGTATAATTTCTGGATTTTCATCAATGACCTGCGCTTTAAATTGATGAAAATCATGTGCATGTTGATTTTCTTGTTAAATTTTTTTTGCATAAATAGTATCAAAAACGATTGTCTCCACTTATATATAGAAGAGACGTTTGAAGCTTGGTTCTACCAGGATCAACGGTATTGAGCAGAATACTATTGCTTGTGAAGCATTAATGTTTTATCTATCTTGTACAACAATGACAGAAGAAACAAATTAAGCTGTGGTATAGTGCACGTTTTTTTCAACCTTGGATTCACTTTCTCTCTCCGTCAATTAAGCTGTTTGAATGGTGAATAAGAGAATAAGTAAAACAATGATAATATGGCTATGAAAAAGCAAGATATATGAATAATATATGATAGTATTATTTTACGTATATGGATGAATGCATACAAGCCAAGGTTATTTTTTCGATGTCCGTACAACCAACATAATGCTTTTTTTTTGCATAGAATAACTTCGATTCATTACACTATTGTACTGTTCGTCAGCATAAACGATTGTACAAAAATACAGTGAGCAAACGTAAGTCTTTTAAAATTATATTCTCTTTAGAAGACTTTTTTCATTATCAGTATCCAGCGGACTTTCCTGTCCTTCAGTAATGCGACTAAGCTTGTGTAGTATTGTTTTCGTATCACAGTAGTTATTTTCCAATCGACAAAAATCCTGAAAAGTTCTGTATGAAATGAATAGCAGATATTAATTATTGTAATCGTCACTCTTCTTATCGAGCGTCTGAAGCAAGAATTATCAATAGGTTTTGTGAGTTTCACCGTAGAAAAAAACTCTTTGACATTGTATTCTTTTACCATTCGAAAAGGTTTGACCTTGCTGAAAATTAGATACAATGCTGTACAGAAAACAAGTGCTTTGGAAAATTTTCGTGGAAAGAATTATCTTCAACTAAGTTTTTGGCAATGAATATGTTCAGGATAATGTCTCCAGAGCGAATAGTTTTAAGTGCATAATGACTATTTTTCTGATGTCGACAAAACTCGAGCCGAAAGGTCTTGAAAGAATCGTATTCTACTAAAAATATCTCTGTGGTTAGGATTATCAAGAGAATTCTCAAGCTACAATGGAGATGTGGGATAATAGAGTTATTTGGTCCTTCTGTTATTCGAAATCCTATGATGAAGATAAAAATAATAAGAGATTTTTTAGGGAAAGAAAAGCTTATTATTGCAATCTCATTGGGACTAAAATGTGATAGATTTCTTGCTCAAAAAATGAAGCTTTTTTTTATTGAAAATCGTGAAAACCATGATAGGCAGGCGGTCTGTCTATTTTAAGCAGCCTGTCTGGCCTGTGCCTGTCTCAGACAGGCTCGATGACCTGTTTGGATCGCTGATTTCTGGGTACATTTCTTGTTAACTTTCTCTCACCACTAGTACCAATACGTGTTTTTTACTCTGCTTGTAACAAACACTCATAGTCAGACTTGAACGCTTGGTAGCTTCGGTACAAAAACGAATGGCCCGTTTTGAATTTGTATATGAGATAAATGATTGCATACGATGCAAGCAAATGATGTATGCTCAACGTATTTAAATTTTATCTTTCTATTCATCTCGATAGACGATGAAATCGTTTTTTTGCTTTTGAATATGTCTCCTTCTGCAATTTTTCTTTTGAATATGTCTCCTTCTGCAATTTTTCTATTGAATCATGTGGATAAATAAATAGGTGAATTCACTGAAAATCACATAGAAATGAATACAAAATAATGAGCTCCATCCATGTAATTCAACGGCTCTACCGACACTAATAAGTTTTTTTTATCGTGTGATAGTGCGTGCGATAAACTTCTTTTTTTGCATAACCCTTTCAAGGCGATGTGATTCTACAGGGTTTCCAAAAATGTTTTTCCAAAGATTTCAGCTCAAATCAAAGAGATATACAAGTGATTTTTATATAAAATGAAAGGCCGTTAAAAACGGGATTTAAGAGTATAACTGATAATTCATAGGGTGATAATAAGCTATAGAATCACGGACAGTTACAAAAATGTTAGGGATGTAACTAGTGTACTTCCATGGGTAGTCATACATAAAAACAAAAAGTTCCGAGAAAATGTCTTCGTCTATCAGATTTTGTGGAGCTATGTGCGCGCTAATCATTTTGATAAAAGAATATTCTAACTTTGACCAATAAATGACGATGCTATGATTAAAATACTGAAAAACGTTACAGCTCTTGCACATAGAGAAGCTTGAGATTTTTCAGTATTTTGACCATAGCATCGTCATTTATCGGTCAAACTTAGAATATTTTTTTATCAAAATGATCAGCGCAGATAGCTCCGCAAAGTCTGATAGACGGAGACATCTTCCGAGAACTTTTTGTTTGTATGGATGATTGACCAGTGTAAATTATAGCGTCGCCCACCGGTGGGCGACATCGCCTCGAAAGGGATAATTTTGCAAGCATTACATTCATATTTGAAAAAGAACGCTGAAAACTAAGCCGTCACAACGTTCGGTTTCTATTCAAAGAAGGAGTGCATTTTTCTTATATGTGACTTGTGTGCACAATGCCAAAAAAGAAACATCCAATGACAGAATGATAGAAAAAGAGAAAAGTTTCCATATTGCATATTCCATGATTCAGCAGTGAATAAAAATGAGCTTAGTGAAGGCAAGACTAAATCAACAATTTCTTAATCTTTTTTCAATGTAAATTATTGATATAAAAAGTGCTTTCATGCTCTTTTTCATTTTGTTCAGAAAAGTATTTCCGTTAAATTGAAAAGCAACCAAAAAAATTCATATTTTTTTTTTATAATGTAGCCAAGAAGTGATAAAATAGTTGTAGTAAGTAATATTCCTACTCAAACGAGCATTGCTTGGTTTTTGTTTCCTTCTCTTTGTGAGCAGAACTTATCAATAAATAAATAAGAAATATCGCAGGTCGAACAATCAATTGATTTACATTGACTCTCTATGCTTTGAATAATTAGAATGTGGTATTGTCTGTATCTAATCATGACAGTATCTATTTTTTTCATTTCAGTATTTTCTTTATCGATTGGTCATCATTAATAAATGCAGTTTCCGTCTATATCGGTAGTAATCTCGTTTTTGGTGCTCATTGTCATATCAATTGTTCTTTTGTCGAATAGACAATCATGTCTACAAATCCCTTTTATGTTTACCACTGATTGTCGTTTATCATTACACGAAAGTGATAATTTTATTTGTGAGTCGAACAATATTTGGAATGAACGCAAAAATGTTTATCAAATACAAGATAAAGAAAATATGATGAAACGCAAGAGTAACATTTTTTTTCTCATGAATTGGGAGCCGAATTTTCATTGTTCCCATGCAAGGCGAATCGGTCGAATGGGTGATGGCGGCAAATGGGTGTGTGATCCTTATCGATTAAAATCTCGATTGGATTGTCTGGTGTATAGTGTTGGATCTGATGGTGATTTCGGCTTCGAAGTCGATATGAAAAAAACAATGCCACATTGTGAAATTCATACTTTCGATCAAAATCAATATAGTTGTCCGAATGGTATTTGTATATTTCATCAAATTACTTTTGGCAATGGTATTCATCCATCAGGCTCAAAAAATTGGACAACAATCATTCAAGAATTGAATCATACTCAACGAAAAATCGATATATTAAAAATTGATATTGAAGGTGGTGAATACTTTTTCTTTCCTATGCTTATGCAATCATCGACACGTTTTTTACCACAACAAATTTTGGTCGAGCTCCACCCGAAGGATCCAAATGAGATTCATGCATTTTTTGAACTCTTACGAACACATCACTACGTCATCTTCAACAAAGAGCCGAATCTCATCGCTGGAAGTCAATATTTCGAATATACCTTCTTAAAACTGAATCCACTTTTTTTCAATTCTTTGCCAGTGACTTCTGAAAAGAAGGAGGACAAGATCGCCAGAAATGAAACAAATTCAGGATAAACCAACCTGGAGTCCATAGTTCATTCTCATTCACTGTAATATGATAAGAATACTTAATAGATGTTATTTATCATCGAATAAAATTGTTTCAAATTCAAGAATTATTTGATAATGTTTTTTTTTTCTTTTTCTCATCATCTAAACGATTTGCTTATAATCAAGCGGCATAAGTTTGTGTGCTGAAGCTTCTATTAATTGAAATTTATATTTATTGAGTCAGAATAACTAGATCCTATTTGAGGAAATAATGCTTAAATATTGTCTAATGATTTGAACTAGTGAATTTAAGTTTTGAGAAATAGAAAGCCACATACATGTGGTTACAAGTATTTGCGAAAAAATCTTGAAAGAAATTATTTTTCTTTTGTGACAATTGTTTTTTGCTATTGGAAGCAATTACAAAGCTAATATTTATAGGTGTTAGGTTCCCTTTTTTGTGTACTCAAAAAGTGAGTACACTATAGAATCGGTCAGTGTGTCCGTCCGGCCGTTTACACGATAACTTTTGAAAGGGGAGTCCGATCACGATGAAATTTTCTATACAGTTTAGTCTTAACATTATCTCGGTCGAGTTCGAAGATGAGAAGGATTGGCCGAGCCGTTCCTGAGTTATTGCAAGAATACTGATTTTCCCCTACGGCTTCCTATAGGAAAATTGACCTATCCCCACTTTCGTAAAACATTTTCCCTATCATAGTCAAATAAAACCTCAACTATTATATACCATTCGATAGAGAATTTTACGAGCTACAAAATGGTATATAAAACATCAAGAAATAAGAAGGCTAGCACACCTATTGCAAGGATAAATCAACGGAAATTGATTCTGTTTTTGTCTGCGCTCTAATCAATCCACAATTAGAGCTCTATATTCCGATCGTAGAGATAATACTTCGAGGTTTTCTGGGATGGAGAACTCGAATCTATAATCCACTTGACTCGAAGCCACATTGGTTAAGCACTAACCAATAGAAATCAAATTATAGGGAAAACGACTTTATGAGGATAACTCAAGGCGAAGAGTTCAAATCTGAGCTGTATTCACCCAGAAATCCTATTGGTTGAGCAGTAGCCAATAAAATTCAAGTGTTTATAGAAAGGATTTGCTAGGCTGATCTTTATATCCACACATTCTAGGATGACCGATTTGTCTCATTCACTTTTTGTAGTACACATAAATCTCGGATTTAATCCGAGGTTTTCACATGTATTTCTTCATAAGTAGGCGTTGCTTCTAGATGATATGGGCAAGATGATCTTCCGAAAGAGAAAATCTAGATAAAATACTACTCACAAACAGTTGTAATCTACGGATGATTATCATGCGTTATAGTGATGAAGTTATTAATGAATAACTCATAACACTGTAAATTCTCTCAGGACATCTCTATTCAATATTGTTCTATAAATAAATCATTTTTCCCATTATTTTTTTCAAGAACAAAAACCTCAATATTGTGTTTTGTTTACAAGTGATCGATTTTCTTTAATTGTAGAAAAAAGAGATATAGAGCTAATGATAATATGTATTATTATTAGGTTGTTTTTTTTATCATAATAATAATCATCCAACAATGAACAAAAAGCAAAATAAATTTTTTTAATCATAACAAATTTCTACAAAAAAAAAACCAGGAAAAATCTTTTTCTATAGTAAACAATAGTTTAACATTCTTCTCTCTTGTTTATCATTATCAATGAAGAATACTATTCTTCAATTTTATATAACTTTTGTAAACTAAGAAGCAAAAAAAAAGAAAATAATAAGTACAATCATTCGACTAGAGTTTATGTATGTTTACACCACGAGCTGTTGATATAGCTAACATATTATGATCGAATAAAACAGCACAAAATGGTGGTGGATTATATGCACTTGATGATTTGACTTTTCCATCTTTAGTTATATGAAATATACGTGAAGTATTTCGATCAACTACAAGCCATTGATCATTAGGAAGTAAACAACATCGAGTACGTATATTTTGACTATATGCTATATTAAGTTTAAGTGACCAAATTCGATCTAATGTTATTGATGATCTTATTTCAATATGTATAGTTTTTTCTGATGGATTTTTAATCATCATAGCAAGTGTATCATTATTATAAACAATTCCATTAATAACTTCATCACGTGTACATGTATCTGGTGATTGCCATTGTTTAATAAGTTTAATTGTTGGTAATAAACTAAATTCCATTATTGATGAACCCCATACTTTAGTTGATAAAAATAATGATGTTTCAGATGTTGTACATGATAACCATTTACATTTTTGAAGTGTTTGAATATTTTCAATAGATATAAAATTTTCATCAATAAAAAAAACATCACTACCATTTATAACAATAAAACGATTTAATGTTGATGACCAACACATATCATAAATTGTACCATATATCCATGAATTTTGTTTAATTATATTTAAATTTTGATCAACTAAACATAAATTTGGTTCTTGATGTATTAATAAATATTGATTATTACATGTTAATGGTGTCCAATTTTCTCTTGGATAATTTATTGTTTTATAAATTGATGATAATGATATTAAATCAAAATGATTTATATCTAAATTTTCAATATATATTAAATTATCATCCAAAACTAAAGATTTTATTTCAATTTGAAATGATATTTGTTCAATTTTATTTATTTCATGTTCAAGATCACGTACAGTTATTGTTAATAAATCAATATCTTTATGTGTTGCTTCTTGTTCACGTATTAAATCTGACATTTTTATACGTATTCGACGTATTTCTTCACGTTGTTTTTCCATTTTTTTTCTAATACATCGATCAAGTTCATGACATTTTTGTTCAAAAAAATCATCAATTGTTTTATGACAATCAATACGCCATTGTTCAAGTTTTTTACGTGAATTTCCAATAGCATTTTCAAGATTAACTGATTTTAAACGTTCACCAAGTGCATTAATTTCATCTGATAATGGATTTAATTGTGAATTAAGAGATAAATCATGTTCAATTATATGATCACGACAAAAATTTTGTTGACATCCATAACATAATGTTTGTGATACACGTCGACATGTTGCAATCATGCATGGTTGAGCCATTTGTTAATTATTACGAATGCTATTTTCCTTTTTTTTTTTTTTTTGTTTAACAATTTTAAAAAAGCAAAAAATAAAAAAAATAAAACGAAGAATGAAATGAAAAAAAATGTTCTTGTTGATACTCAATAAATAAATAGAAGGGTTTGTTTTGTTTGCATAAGATACAAACGGTTGCTCGACACTCTTAAGTAATCAGAGGCGAATGTATTTAGCAATGAATGAATGCCAAAATATTTTCAATGTCTTGTCTTTATATTAAAAAAAAAAAAGAAACTAAAGTAAAAAAAAAATAATGGGCGGATAGAAATCTGTTAAAACATAACTATTGCAGTCAAAGTTCATCGTGACAAAACAACTATAGGAACTATTTGTCAATAGAAAAAAAAAAAAAGGACATCGATAAATGTTTGTTTGACTTTTTAACTCAACTATTTTTCTTGAGAAATTTCAATTTTAATTTTGTTTGATTGAAGAAAACAAGATATTAGGGAAAAGATAAATTTTTCATTCGATTTTCAGCAATTATATCGAAACCAAATGTTTGCTTGTAGCAAGTGAATGCTTCGTTACAACATTAATTTTGTGATTTGCTGAAAGTCAGTAGAGTGAAATATATGTTATCCGATATTATTTGTTAAAAAAGATATTCGAATACTTTAGCAATTTCAAGTTAACGATATTTGTAAATAAAACTTCACTTTTTTTTCTATGTTATTGTTTCTCAGCCGAAGCCATATTATGATCTGAATTATAATAAATGTGAAATGTACCCAACAAACTTTGTTTTTTTTTTCTTCTTTGATCAAGGACAAGCATAAAAATAATACATCTTGAACCTTTAAAAAAAGTTCTTTCTTTTAATGGTAATGCATGTTAATTTTACATTCGATATTTTTTTTGTCAAATAAGTTCAACTATGGGCGTTTTTTTTTGTTTTTGTTGTTATTTGTCAAATATTGAATTCATACGGATTTTATTTTGTTAGTCAAAGATACTTTTTTAAAAATACGTTCGAATAATCGTCAATTGAAATTAGCAGACTTTGAGAATCTAGATGAATTTATTCACATAGAATCCTGAAAGAATTTTTTTAAAATTAGTACTGAATTCAAAAGAAACCGCACGGAACATGGAATGATTGATGAAATTTCAATAGTTACTAGATGAATTGTTTGTTTTTTTTTGTATCGACCAAATATTTTCAATGTACTTTTTCCAGTTTGAGGACATAAGAATATTGAATGATGAATGAAATTTCTTGGAAAAAAAATGTTGTTATTTTTTAAAAGTGTTTTGTTTACACAAGCACGAGGTTAATTTGTGATATTATTTAAAAACAACGGTATATTATACAACATATGTATGTCTTATAATTATAATAGTAAAGCATAATATATGATTGTAATCATTAATGAAATTGAAAATTAAATTTTTTGATTTAAATAATATGATCGATGACATATAATGTATAAACATGCTTGGGAAATTTTCGATCACACGTTTTTTTCTGATAATGCATCAATTATCAAATAAAAAAAAAAACGATTAGAATTGATTTACATTAAAAGAAAACCGATATACAGGTTGATTATGTTATTTTTAATAGTTTTGTGTAGTTTGCTGTATTTATGTAGAACATCGGGGGATTTCTTATTTTGATACAGTTGGATAGAGTATCGACTACTCTATCGAACCATATAGTTTACATTTTATTTCCTTTGGTCCTAGTTCAGAAAATCGATAAATCTCAAAAAGCAACGAAAATGATTTTTTTACGCAGTAAAGAGTTGGTCAAAAAATCATCAATTTTTCCTCCACTCTGGAAACATTATAAAAGGAAAGTATCTTTGTAGTAAATAATTGCTTTGATATTGGTTTATTAAGATCAAGATCTCGTCACTTTTGTGAACAAAAGCTTAATCAATGTCAGAATTTTTTAACAGAATACCGTGGTTTCCTTCTCAGGAACATCACAAAAATTTATTTTCGAATTTCGACTTGAAACTTTGCACAGAGATAGGTCTTAGTAAGAGTAGGTTATTATGAAAATTTCAGATCTTTTCGTTGTTCCTATCCTAATATTCAAACATCGAATTC